GGTGGGATGTTGGAGCCCTGTGTGCATATGAGCATATGTTGCAGGGCCTCCAGACTTAAATCCACGTGAAGATGGTGGTGGTCTTATGTATGTGTTAACATTACATTGTGGACAGGTAGACTACTTTCCTTTTGCTGGTGGGAGTGTTAAATCACCTCTCGGAACATTAGTTCATTGCTGGTGGATATGCTAAATATTTCTAACATCTAATTTTCTAAGTGTATAGATGTCATTTTTAATTCATATGGGATAGAACCAGTTTTGCTTGCAAAAAGCAAACTGTTCATTGGATCATTGGGCTTAAGTTTTAGGTTGTGGTAGATATAATAAGAATTATATCTTATAATTTCTAGTATAATATTATATATCTCAATATAAATATATATGTGACAGTGTTTTTCTGACAGATGCAACATGGTGGAAATGTCATAAGTGTTGGTCTGCCTTTGTAGTTTTCAGATGTGTATATGCAGTTTCTTATATAACAGAAAAATTGCCACATGAGTCAAATAGCATAGGTTAGAAAAGTTCTCATTTGCCAAAAAAATGTGACTTTCATCAATAGTGAGTTGTTTTTGATTTAAAATGTTTCTATCTGTAGAGGCATTTTATAAGTTTTTATGGGGATACTACAATGGGATGTGAAACCTGAGTTCATTAGGTCATGAGGTGATCAGTGGAACACTTATGTGTATACAGTATACATGGTTATCTGTTTTGGAAAGCATAGAGGCTATCATGTCTGCATGTTTCTAAATGCATATACACACACGTAAACACACACAAATCTATATATATACACACACACACATATACAGTGAAAGCTTTTGTTCCCTCCCTCACATAGGCAGATCACTTACGTGTGTAAATAATTGAGCAGCTGGAGGGGAATTTTGTTACATGTGTATAAAACAGTCAAAATGTATAATTGTTTTGCTTTAATTGTTTAGTCTTTGATTTGTAGGAATTACTGACATGTGTATTTGTGTGTATGCAGGTCTATATATACGCATACATATCACTGTATAAACAACATCTTTTGTCATAGGGTAGAAATATTCTTAAGTTGCCAGAGCTGTTGTATGGCTGCTAAATACGTAGTAGACAAATGTTACCTTTTGCTTTTTAGCATCTGCATACAGATTACTAATAGGCATATATTGTGACCAGTAAACCACTAGACAAGGGCAAAACACTTTAGTTTGATCAGTAGAATTGCTATGCCATGTTTATGTGGGATTTATTTGATTGATGCAGAATATATAATTATATTGTATATAGAAGATAAAACAACATTTTTGAATATTCAAGTTCTGCCATATTTTTGGAAATATATTCTTATTCAAAAGTAGAATCATCGTTTGCCAATAGAGTTAGCATCTTTGTGTGCTTGTGAGGTTTGATTTTGAGGGTTTTCTTGGTTTTCTTTTGGGTTCTGGAGTTTTAAAAAATGAGACTGTCTTTGTCTAAAAAAATTTTGATATAAAAATGTACATTTTTATATTATTTTTTCTTATTCCAACCTAATTGGTGGCTTGTCCCTTCCTGTGTTTATTGGACTGTTGGGTGCCTGGATAGAGCTGGAGACCATTTGACTGCTGTGTGAATAATAGATAAGCGTCTTGAGTAACATCGAATTTGCTAGGTATATAGAAACACCCACCATGCACATATGTGAACATACAGAATATATGAATGTTAAAATATGGTGAAAATCTTTTGCCAATAGAAGTGTTAACCTTTATGTTTTTTTTAAATTGGTGTGTATGTGGAGGTTTATTCAATTGTTAGTTGTGTCCATGTTTAATATGTGCAGAATTTATAGATGTACAGAAGTTTGTTATATTTGGTGGATGTATTTTACTTAAAACTATAGGGCAGAAGTTGTTTATGTTTGTTGAAGTGAAATGGCATACCAAACCTGTATGGTAGAGTGGGATGTTTAGATTGCTGTATGTACAGTCAGGTTATATCTTTAAAATACCTATTCTTTCCATGTTAATATATAGACATTGCTGGTATATATTAAAAAGTCAGAGGTCTTTTTATGAATATAGGCATTAGCTTCCTGATTCGCGTGGAGAGGTGTGTTGGGTACTTTGTCATTTCATCTCATCTCTGTGATATGCAGTTGTCACGTCAGCCCTCCCGTGAGTCTGCGGGTTTTGTTTCTGCAAGGAAATGCAACTGGAAAGTACAGCATTGGCAGAATCTGAAACCCGAGTAAACAGAGCGCCTCCTTTTCATAACCATGGGTTCTGAAGAGCTGAGGGAGTTGAGTATGCGCTGATTTTGGTATGGGGGCAGGGTACAGGTACAAATCCTCCATGGATATTGCTAGACAACTGTAAAATCTTTAGTTTTTTTTGTTTTATAGACAGTGTGGATGTGCATATATTGCAGGCATCACTTTTTTAAACTATGCTTAACCCTGCAAATGATTTTAAGAGCTCTGTGTGGGTGGCTCTCTTGGGTTTACTATTAAATAGCCGTGTTTATCATAGTTGTTCTATAACGTTTCAACTTTGTAAATATATAGTTGGTTGATAAAAAGGATAGAGACATTTTTCTTTTGATGATAGATTGTTCTTTCCCCTTTGTGTAGTCTTCATTGTGTTGCTGGGATTGTTACTTGCACATATTTAAGCTTATATATTAAATGTATATATGCTGTCGTGTTAGAGAGGGAGACTGGTTCCCTCCACCACATTTTTATTTAAAAGTAAAAATTAATTTTTATTAAATTGTTTGGGTCAGTTTCATGTAAAAATAACCTCTGTATTGAAAGGTATCTCTTGACGGGGTGTGGAGGCTCACGCCTGTAATCCCAGAACTTTGGGAGGCCAAGGAGGGTGGAACACCAGGTCAGGAGTTCGAAACCAGCCTGGCCAATATGGTGAAACCCCATCTCTACTAAAAATACAAAAATTAGCTGGGCGTGGTGGTGCACACCTGTAATCCCAGCTACTCAGGAGGCCGAGGCAGAAGAATAGCTTGAACCCAGGAGGCAGATGTTGCAGTGAGCCAAGATCGTGCCACTGCACACTCCAGCCTGGGCAACAGAGCGAGACTCCCTCTCAAAGAAAAAAAAAAAAGGGAAAGGTATATCTTACTATCCTTGATGTACTGAGGTTCGTGATGCAATTCATTTTTCTTAAGCGCATACTATAGAATCTTTAAATTATATGATTCTGTGTTCATTAGTGGCATGGCAATAACCAATACAATTTATTAAATAATCAGTAAATGAAATATTTAATTTTAAACATCTAGTATTTCTAGATGTTTAGAGAGTCTCACGAAGTATGATTTTTTAAAGTATCTTGTTGTAAATTTGTTAGTACTGTTGTCTTTTGCAGTTAACTTGGCAATGAAATTGATTATTGATACACAGGGTCTTGGAGCTAAACAAAATTTATCATGTTTTAATTTGGATATTAGAAGGAGGAAATGACACGAGACTCTGCATTTTACCTGTTATTATATAGCTTACCATTATATCGGATACGAATTGCATATTTTTAAAAAACTTAGATTAAATGTCATGTAAATGCATTTGATCTTTCTAGATATACTTCCTGATATCATAATTTTTATTTCCTGTTAATATTCAAGATATAAATGACTTCATTAAAGAGATTTTCTACTACCTCTAGGAACTATACAAAATTCTGTATGTGTTCCCTTGGTTGCATGACAATATTCAAGACAACTTTGTAAATAATAGATAAAATTTTAAAATTTTTAACATCTAGTCTTTCTAGATGTATAGAGTCTCATAAAGTATAATTTTGTAAATAAGTCATTGTAAAATTTCATGGTTTCATTGTGTTTTGCAAATGTCTTGGCAGTGAACTTGATAGAATTTTGGGCTTCTTGACCTATACATATTTTGGTATCTAACCTTTATTGGGTTGTTAGTGTAAGGAATAAGTTAAAAGAATGTGTATTTTCAACTTTAAATTATAATCAGAAAGAAAATATATTTAACCATTGTTTAGTGCTTCTATTATATATTAAAAACTTCAGTCTTAATTTTGTAGTTACATTGTTGATAGGGCATTATATAAATATACTTTTATAGTCATTGTAGGAAATGTCTTTTATAAGGAAAAATTTCTTCTACCTCTTTGAATTACACAGTTTTGTATTTACATGGACTGCATGACAACATTCAAAAAACACTTTAACAGATAAAAATGACATTTTCTAAAGCTAGGTTTGCTAGATGCATGGAGTCTCAACAAAGTATAAATGTGTAAATATTTCATTGTAAAATATCATAAATTGACTCCTTTAAGTTTTCAGTAGTACAATAGGTAATCAATAATTGGCCTCTTGGGACTGTGTAACATTTTGATGTTTGTGTGTTCTGAGACAGAGCAATAGATTGCCTCCGTATCTTTTAAACATTAAGGTCTCTTGTATAAGAAAAATAACCATTGTGGGTTTTTTGTGCATCGTATACTGATACGAAACAAAGAAACAAATCCCCCTGGATATTTTATCTTTAGAAAGATAGAGGAAGATATGAGAAGGGAATGGTCATTGTAAATTAGATATATTGAGTGTTAGAAGATTATTTAAGTAATTGTTCTTTTGTTATTTGTACTCTTTGCAAATTTATTTAAATGCATATCCATGTATATCATAAGTATTCACGTGCATGTCTAATTTAGTGGCATAGATCTATTTCAAGGGTATTAATCTTTCACTCATGTACTGCTTTGTGTTTTATTTTCATTTAAAAAATTGTGGAACTAGTGGCTGGGCATGGTGGCTCATGCCTGTAACCCCAGCACTTTGGGAGGCCGAGGCGGTCGATCACCTGAGGTCAGGAGTTTGAGACCAGCCTGGCCAACATGGTGAACCCCCGTCTCTACTAAAACTACAAATATTAGGTGGGCATGGTGGCGGGTCCCTGTAATCCCAGCTACTTGGGAGGCCGAGACAGGAGAATTGCTTGAACCCTGGAGGTTGCAGTGAGCCAAGATTGCACCATTGCACTCCAGCCTTGGCAACAAGAGCAAAACTCTGTATCAAAAAAAAAAAAAAAAAAAAATTAAAAAAAATTATGGAACTAGTGTTTTATTTCTAAGCTTGCAGATATTTCTAGAATTCCACTTAGTGTTACATCTAAATGTATGGTGATTATTCGTTAAATAATAAGCAGGTCTGTAAACATTTTATTCTCTAACCTCTTTCCACATTTGTATGAGTATAGAAAAACTGTGGTTGTGAATATTTTTTACTTTTTGATAGCTTTTAAAAACTCAGATATGTGATAATCAGAGATTTCAAGTTTACTTACAGTGTAAATTAGGAAAATTTTTATAAAGATTCCATCCAGTATTGATCAAAAGTTTAAATTGTATGTCTTTTTAAGCAGCAGTTTGGCAATGACAATCAAATTGATACTATGTAAAAGTTTTGAAATGTTATAGCTGGCTACTGGGGTTTTATCTATTCCAATTCTTGAAAATTTACCAAATACAGGTTGGCTGTAAAATCATAACTGAGGTATCTGTCAGTAAATCAAAGATTGCAATGATTATAGCTTCTTTAACATGAATGTAATTCTAACACTAAAAAATTTCTATATGGAATATGTTTTGTAGTCCTAAATTGATATTTTATATCATTTTTCAATGAACAACTAGCTGTTTACAGAGGTCTGTGCATATGTCTCTAGTTTTTCTAACTGAAATATTAATGGTTAATTATAAAAATATGAATTATATGTGGGGCTTGTCGTTCTGACATTTAATACTTCAGTGTTGTGGTAATGGTGATTATTTAAATATACTGTTTGAAATTGTAACACATGAGTTAAAATCAAAAGATTGTATATGTACATATTTGTATATTACTACATGACAAAAATCTAGAAAGAATATGATTCACATGAAAATTGTTTGGAGGGACATGACAAAGTTTTAACAGTCCTGTGTAGTGAATGGAGAATAGAAGGACTACTTCTACTTTCTGTATCTGAAATTTTCAAAAGCTATTTCAAAATGAACATTGAAACAAAAGGAAATTTTAGAGACAACCACTTTGTGCCTGTCTTCATCCTTGACATTCAACATCCTAGGAACAATGGGCTGCTGTATTCAACTTATTGTTCTCAACAGCATTATGAGTGATTTTTGATTGATCTCACAAAGAGCATGTGATTTAGACATTAATGCAGCAACTACCATGAAACGGAGTATTGGATTACCTAAGGAAAGAAGCAGAAGATGGAATTTGAGGTAGGTGTCAAACAGTGAAATTTCTGTTGAGAAACAGATGAGTGAAAGGAAATAGTAACTGAAACATTCTATAAGGAAAGTACATTTTAAGACAATGCTTTATTTTTGGGTACCGACTAGATCAAGATGTTGGAGGAGGTGTCTCTTGGGATATGTTGGAAGTTATCCTTCATTAATTTGGTATAAACTGAAAACAGATTGCTTCCTTCCTTTTAAAGTGGTTGAGTCTTTGATGGATTTAAAGTAGGCCTTTGGGGATTTATAGATCATTCAGAATTAGCAGGGGAAAATTTTAAATATTCTCTGCATCTTTCTAAAAGGTGTGGTTTAAAGTTGGTGAGAAAGTGAAATGGTTGCCGGTTGAACTTGATTTTCTCTATTCACTATGCCAGGCTAGCCTAAAATTATCCTAATGGGTATGTTCTGGTGCCTGATTTGTATCTAAATGTTTCTGTATTGGTTACTGTTTTTCTTAGGCAATCAGGATGAGTGCAAAACTTATTTGCAGCTAACCTGCAAATGGAATCATCAGGAACATCCCTTTCTTACGGAGTCCCTTAATTTACAACTTAACTGCAAACATAGGTAAGAAGGTTCTGGTGCTATTTGAGGGTGAGGTTTTGGTGAGGTTTTGCCTAAGCTCAGGAAAATAATACTGGTACAAGTGTATTTCCTGGCCACCTTGGAATTATCAAATGAGTTAGTCGGTAAAATATATTTTATCAAAGTGAAGGTATAGTTTGGTTCCCAGACCAAACTGAGGGTCGGGCTGCTATTTCTCATGGTCCAATAATGAGATGCAGATGAACAGGGGAGGAAGAGTTAGAGCTAGTTACAGGAAGAAGGCCTGGAAATTGTCACCACACCAATTCAAAATTACAAACTTTTTCAGAGCTTAAATACCTTCTAAGCTATACGTGCATGTGTAAGTGTGTATCTAAAGACATGAGTGATCTATAACTAAGGTCTGAGTCTTAGAGACCTTCCTCTGGAGCCTCAGTAAATTTATGTAATCTAAATGAGTCCAGGTGCTGAGGTGATTACCCTTATCTTGTCTCCTACTAAATCATGAAGGTTTGGGGAATTCCTTCATACCCCCAGTAAACTTACTCGTGGAGGCGTAGAGAGTTTCTTCAGACCCCCAATAAAACTTGTTTAATCATGCTTTAAGGTTCAAGAGAGGCCTAGGCAAAATTTGGTGGGCTTTTGTGACATTCCAGCCTTTGGATAACGAAATGGCTCTTTCAACTTCTAATATTTAACTTAATCATTCCGTCAGTACTGAAACAGCTGTTAATGGAGGCCTGTTTAGTGGAACCTGGTCTGCCACAGGTGCACAGGCACACACAGTACCTTTAATTAGTTTGCTTATTTATGGTCCAACACGAAAATATAACTAATAAAAGAAATGACCAGGCATCTAATTATTAGAAATTATAAAATCGGCAATATGTGTATTTTCATAAATGTACAGTTTTCACAAAATGTTTTCACATACAGTTCTTTGATATGATAAAGGGTGAAGTTCATGGAAACCACAAAAAGATACTGATACTGAAAACTATTAAAGTCATTACTGAGGTTGTAAGTTGACTTTACTATAGGATTGATAATGGGAAGTGTTTCTAAATGGTAACATAACCTGGAATAAAGTTCAGCATGAGCATTCACTTAACCTGCCACCTTAGCTGTTTCATTAGAGTGGTATATATCTCACTTTACAGTGTTTCTTCTTTTTCCTTGTCAGGAGATGGTAGTTCCAAGAAGGAACATTTTATCGTCTTTGTTTTTAATCTCAAGAATGGTACCTGCCATCAGTGAATGACTTGTTGCACTGCTTTCATTGAAGTGTTCTTCATTCCCTCGCCAATATGATTGTAAGGGCAGTTGAGTGCTAACTTGATTGGGAGAGGGGCGGTTTGGTTAGATAGGACTTGATATATTCTGTTTTTCATAAGTTTGATATTTTTTTCTGGCAGCTAGTTGACATTCAGATCTGGTTGGTTACATACTGCTATGTAATAAATTATCCTGAAACAGGGGCATAGAACAATATTGTTATGTCCATGGATTCCGTTGGTCTGACCATGCCCAGGACAGTTTAGGAATTGTATCTTCTCCAAAGTTTCATTGTAGCTTCTGTGTTTTTAGTATAGTTACTATTTCTTTCTCATCAGATTGGTTGAGCTCTTTTTGTTATTATCATTTAAATATTTAGGCATTGTTGTCATGTATATTGTGCAGAAATGCATATATACTGCAGGTAATAATTCTGTATGTGAACAAGTGACCTAGAGGTAAAGGAATCAGAATACAAACACATTGTGTGGATAATGTTGGAGAGGTCTGTTTTTCACAAGACATAGGAAGGAAAGAGGCTGGGCATGGTGGCTCCTGCCTGTAATCCCAGCGTGAGGTCGAGGTGGGTGGGTCGGTCACTTGAGGTCAGGAGTTCAAGAACAGTCTGACCAACATGGTGAAACCCCGGCTCTACTAAAAATACAAAATTAGCTGGGCACGGTAGCATAATCCCAGCTGCTTGGGAGGCTGAGGCAGGAGAATCGCTTGAACCCAGGAGGCGAAGATTGCAGTGAGCCAAGATCACGCCATTGCACCCCAGCCTGGGCAACAAGAGCGAAACTCCATCTCAAGAAAAACAAATGACAACAACAACAACAAAAAAAAAAAAAAAAAGAAGGAAAGAGAGCTAACATCTGACCTCCTTTATTATTAAAATACTCCAAAAGGAATTTTGATCCACATGCTCTTTCTCCATAATAGAATGAATGTTGCATATCATTTTACAGACAAATTTTATTAGTTCTTGCCAATGATATAAACTTTGCTTCTAACCTTTTCCCATTTTTCCAACTGTGTTCTCTCAGGTGATGACTGAAAAAGGGAACCTGTGCTACTATTTGTACCATCATCTTCACGAAAATCAAAAAATACTTTTTATGATGTATGGAGACACTCTTCATGTGTGTTTCAGTGGACATTCCTTGCAGATACAAAAAACTGAGAAAGCTCACTTTTGGAAAGTGACCTAAAAAGTGTCATTGAAGTGAATTTTCAGTAGGCACGATGATTGTTTTCATGGTTGCTGTTGGATCATGTCTCAGGAGCTGGAATGACAGACATTACTGAACAAAGAAATCAGGATAGTGAAACTTAAAGAGTTTCATCTCAGTGCTTTCATAAGTATGAAGTGCATATATTTATAATTTTCACTAATCACAGGGTAAATATAAAATTGATTCATTAAAAATGTTTCATAAGAATTCAAAGGACATAGAATTTTGTGAAATGTAGTAGTTTTACTTAAGTGCCTTTCTCTATTTCTACCCCCGAGCCAATTTTTTGGAAACTAGTTGATACATAAGTAGTTTTGGGGGGATGATATACATTTTCTATATAGTAAACATGTACTTGGATGTGTGTGGATGTGTATCTGATTAGTTTGTTGGAGTGATTCCTATGGTTTGGAACTGCTGGGGCCATGTTTAGGCAAAAATCTATATTTTTGAGTAAACTCCCCATGACTAGAGCAAATTTCCCCAGTATTTGAGAATTCTTCATTTCCTAAAGCTGTACAAACATCAGATAATCAATATTCATAAGGATCGATAATGTAATTTATAATGAAATTGCTTTCTGAGCTATTAATGTTAACTATATCATCTTAATATTGCCTTAAAACTCATTTGTGCTATTCCATTTTCCTCTGTTCCTTTTATGTTCACTTCCTTTCTAATGTTAGTCTCCTCGTACTGATTTCTGAAGAGTTCTTTTGTGATTACAGATGTTAACATTTTGTCTAGAATAGCAAATATGTTTTTTCTCATTCATTTTACTATGGTGTTTTATTTTTTGGTTATATAGAAGTTGTATATTGAAATATAATCTTGTTCTGTTTTATGACTTTGGAGTTTCGTGTTTTTTTTTAAACATGTTTACATTAATATCATTTATTTGTATTGCCTTCTATTTCAGCAGTTATTTTGTCATTTCTTTTTCCATTAACCATCATTCTGGTGTTAATGAATGCATTACATATTTAGTTATCTCTTAAATTCTACCATAAAGAAAATTTCCAGGTAAAATTGACTACACTTCTGTTAACTTGCCTTACCATCTTATTGACACTAATAATTACTAATGATTTATACTGTCTTATCTATTCCATTGAGTTCTATCTCATTTCTCTTCTTTTTCAGAATATTCCCTGTCTATACTTGCATTTTTTTCTATCAACTGACACTTACAATTATTTTTGCAAGTTGGAAAAAAATGCAGTATTAATTTCATTTGCAACAAACTTAATAGATTAATTAGGAGAGAGTAGATATCTTTAAAATTGAGTCTTCTATCCAACTGCAAGGTAGGTCTTTCTATTTTTAATTGAATAATAATTTGGGGATATTGCTAGTGCAATTTTTAAAAGTATTTTTTAATACTAGGCATTTTTTAGTTATTTAGTGATTTGAATTAGTCAACTTATCTAATTGATATGTGAAAACTTTTTGTATGCCTTTTCTAGTAGTCTTTACTGAATTTCTAAAATTATGACTTTCTTGAACAATTTGTCATTTTAATTATCTTGATAAAGTACATTCGTAAGTATTTCTAGGATACATGGAAGTACTTGGCAATTGGACTGTTAATTGCAGTCCGCTTAGGTCATGGTTGTTTTTGTTCTTACTGGCATTTCAGTAGTCTTTTAGAAGAAGATGTTTTACCAAATTTGGTGACAGGTTTAATAAAATTTCTTTTTGTATAGTTGAAAAACCTGTCCTTATAATTATTAAGGTTAAAATTAACGTATTCCAAAATTGAACATTATTCCATCCCATGAATGAAGTAAATTATATTTTAGTATATACTCCTTGATTGTAGTTGTTATAATTTCATTTGGAATTTCTGAAATGATTCCTAAACAAACAGCTTTTTGCTTGTTCTGTTGTCGGAGGTTTTTGATGTTTTACTGAGTCTTTGAAACCATTTTGAGTATTTCTGGCACAGGCTAGAAACAAGTAATGTTTTTCTTTAATTATGTAGAAATGCTGGCTTAAAAAGGTGTTGAAATAATAGTGTGTTTTTTTTTAAAGTTATTTATCTTTTGTCCAAAATCAACTAAGCATTTATGTAAACTTGTGTTTTTTGGAACCCTTTATTCTGTTTCCTTGTTCTTTGTGTTTGTCTTTATGCCAGTATCACACTGTTATGATTATTGTAGCTTTGTAGTTAACATTTTGAAATTGGGAACTGTGACTCTTACAGCTTTGTTCTTTTTCAGGTTTGTTTTGCTCATTTCAGCCCTTTGAAACGCTATATGAGTTTTAGGATTTTGTTTTTTAATTTTTGCCAAAAATATGGGAAGTTTACTGGGGATTAAATCTGTACATTGCTATGAGTAATATTGACATAAACAATACTAACTTTTCCAGTCCATGAACATGGGATGTCTTTTTATTTATGTCATTTATTTCTTTCAGAAATGATTTGTAAATTTCATTGTACAGAAAATTTTCTTTGATCTTACTAGTTAAGTCGCTAAGTATTGTATTTTTAAAATGCTATTGCAAGTGGAATTGTTATTTGAATTTCCTTTGTGAATTATTCACTGCTATTTTTGCTTGCTGAATTTGTTGCCTGGTATTTTGTAGAATTTATTAGTTCTAAGATTTTTTTTATACTCCTAAGGGAAATTTTCAGCCTGTAAATTTTTTTTTTGAGACATAGTCTCACTGTCGCCCAGACTGGAGTGCAGTGGTGCTATCTCCCAGGTTCGAACAATTCTCCTGCCTCAGCCTTCTGAGTAGCTGGTATTACAGGTAACTGCCACCATGCCTGGCTAATTTTTGTATTTTTAGAAGAGATGGGGTTTCACCGTGTTGGCCAGGCTGGTCTCGAACTCCTGAGCTCAAGTGATCTCCTCCCTTAGCCTCCGCAAGTGCTGCTATTACAGGTGTGAGTCCCCATGCCCGACCAGCCTATAAAATTTTAGTGGATGCCAAGAGAGATACTTTTACTTCTTTCCCGACTTGGGTGTCATTTCTTTCTTTTTGTTACTTGATTGCTCTGGCAAGGATTTGTAATACCATGTTGAAAAGAAGTGACGAAAGCAGGCATCCTTGCTTTGTAACTGATACCAGAGGAAATCCTTTTAGTATTTAACCATTGAGATGAATGTTGTTTTGAGTTTCATTTATAGCTTTTACTATGGTTGTGTGATTTCATTCTATTCCTAATTTGTTGAATGTTGAATTTTTTATTCCTTCTTTGTCTTGCTTTGGTAAGATGGTAATGCTGGCCCCATAAAATGTGTTGGGGAGTGTTTCCTCCTTGAATTTCTTAGAAAAGTTTGAAAACACTTGTTGTTTAAGTATTTCTTTGATGGAAGATTTTTCATTAATAATTCAATACTGTTAATAGTTTCGTGTGTGTGGTTTTGATTTGGTGGCCTTTAGTCTCCTAGGTTTCTAGGAATTTGTACGTTTCATCTAGGTTATCTAATTTGTTAACATTCACTTGCTTATAGTACTCTTAGAAAATCTCTTAGTTCTGTAGACTTTGCATTATGTTTCTGATGGTAGCAACTTGAGTCTTCCCTCTTTTTTCTGGTCCACTTAGCTAAAGGGTTTGTCAGTTTTCTTGATTTTTGCTTATGAAGAACCAAGTGGTTATTTTGTGTTCATTTTCTGTTTTATTCATCTCTGTATCATTCTTTATGTCCTTCTCCTCTTTGTGTTTAGTTTGCTTTTATAGTTCTTTAATTTGTACAGTTTGTTGATTTGAAATTTTTTATGTTACATTAATAGGTGTGAGATTCATAAAACGTTTTATTTTCATTTTCATTCATTCCCACATATTTTCTAATGTTCCTTTTAACCTCTTTGTTGTACTAGTTGTTTGTGTTTTCTCATGTCCACAAATTTGACTTTTCCAAGGCTTTCCTTCTGTTAATTGATTTCTAAATTCATGGCCTTGCTGTGGTCAGAGAAGAGGCTTTTTCTGTCTGCCTTTTCAAAATTTATTGAGACTGAATTTGTGACTTAACTACATTTGTTGTGAAAAATGTCTCACGCACTTAAAGGGGAATGTGCATTTTGTTGCTCAGAGATTGTTGTGTGCATATCTGTTAAATACAATTGATTTATTGTGATGTTACACACTTCATTTTTCTCTTTTTTTGGGGGGAGGGGTGGGGGATGAGACAGAGCTGGCTCTATTCCCCAGGCTAGAGTGCAGTGCAGTGGCGTGATCTTGGCTCACTGCAACCTCTGCCTCCCAGGTTCAAACGATTCTCCTGCCTCAGCCTCCAAAGTAGCTAGGATTACAAGCGCCTGCCACCACACCCGGTTAATTTTTGTGTTTTTAGTAGAGATAGGGTTTTGCCATGTTGGCCAGGCTGGTCTCAAACTCCTGACCTTGTGATCCACCTGCCGTGGCCTCCCAAAGTGCTGGGATTACAGGCGTGAGCCCCCGCACCTGGCTCACACCTCTGTTTTCTTTCTTGTTTCTGGTTATTCTTCCATCATTGAGAGTACGTTCTTGGAAGTCTGCATCTCTTAGGGAGGAAATGTCTATTTCTCCCTTCTTTTATGTCAATTTTTGTTTCATATATTTTGGTGGTTTATTAGGATCATAAACATTGATCATCTTTATCTTGTAATTTTGATTAATGTATGATGTACATGTTTGTTTGTTGTAACATCTTGGATTAACAGTCTGTTTTGTCTGACTTTAACAGTCTACAAAATATCTGCTTCTCTAACACCTTCACTCCTACCCCTTTCAGTTGTTGTTATAAAAATATATCTTTTAACATATTGTGGATCAAAAAATATTATTTGAAATTCATTTTTTTGTTAAATTGTTTAGAAGATAAATTGTAGAGTTATAATCAAAGTTACAGTAATATTTACTGGTTTTTAGCCTAATGTGTGGTTTTATAATTTATCAATTTCAAGTCATGTAGAATCTAAAAAAGGCAAGAGGCTGAACATAGTAGCTCACGCCTGTAATACCCGGCACTTTGGGAGGCTAAGGGAGGAGGATTGCTAGAGACCAGGAATTTGAGACCAGCCTGTGCAACATAGCAAGAGGCTGTCTCTACAAAACAAATTTTAACAACAACAAATAGCTGGGTGTGGTGGCATATGCCTGTAGTCCCAGATACTCAGGAAGCTGAGATGCAAGGGTCTCTTGATCCCTGGAGGTTGAGGCTACAATGAGCCATGGTGATGCCACTGCATTTCAGCCTGTGCAACAGAATCAGAGCCTGTTTCTTAATGAAAAGCAAGTGGAGGGACACCATTGTTAACCTCTCATAATTGCTCAAATACTTACCTTTAACCACATCTTTATTTCTTCATAGGGCTTCCATTTACTGTTTATTTCAACCTTCAGGAGTCTTTTCAGTGTTTTTGTTTGGTGGGGGAGCAGATCTAATGTTAACAAACTCCTGTTGTTTGTACATCTGGGAATGTATCAATTTCTCCCTTTTTAAAAAAAATTAACAGTTTTGTTGGATATTAGATTCTTAGTTGAATGGTTTTTTTTGTTTGTTTTTTTGTTTTTTTTAGCACATTGAATGTGTCCACTACCTTCTGGCCTCGTGAGAAATTAACTGATAATCCTTGTTATGTGATGCCAGTTTTCTATTGTTGCTTTTCAGAATTCTTTCTCTTTTGCTCTTCATAGTTGAAAGATAATGTGTCTCATTGTGGGTCTTTGAGTTAATCTTGCTTGGAGTTTGTTCAGGTTCTTACATGTTAATATTCATATCTTTCATCAGATTTGAGAAGTTTCCGTCTAGAATTTCTTCAGATATTCTTTCTTTTGCATGCTTTGTCTTTTCTGGAAATCCTGCAGTGTGTGTATTGGTTAGCTTGAGTGGTAGACCAGAAGTTGTTTAGACTCTGTGTACCTTTCTTCAATGTTTTTTCTTTTTGTTCCTCAGAACTGATAAAATTCTGAAGTTTGCTGATCCTTTTTGTTGCCTGCTGAGATAATGCATTGGAATCCCTCTAGAAAATTTTTCATTTCAGTTAATTGAACGTTTCATGTTCCAGAATTTCATTTTGCGTTCCTTTGTGAAATTTTTTTTGTCTCATTATTCCATTTTGCTCGTGCATCATTTTCTTAACCTTCTCCATCACTTCCTTTAGTTCTTTGAGCAACTTTAAGATAGTTGTTTTAAAAGCTGCTTACCTGTCTTAACATCTTTGAGATTAGAAGTGGTAAACTGATGAGAGCACAGCCTCTCAGTGTTTGTATATCAGAGTGGTGTGTTTTGTTTTTTGTTTATTCCTACCCTCACTCCTTCTGCAAGCTGTATGTAAGTTGTTCCAGAAATGTGCACAGCTACCTTGTGTG